TTGTGAAAATTATTTAATACTCCATACTGAATCACACACTATTACACAACACTTCACTGAATTGGGAGATCCCGAAGTTATAAATCCCAATGTAATAATAAATCCTTGGTAAAATAATAAACCTTTTAATTACTTTTCTTTAAGAAATAAATCAAATTCTATTCTACCATTTATTTATGTAAACATGAATATATAAGCATGCAAAACAAAACAAAATTAAAGTGAACACATTTTAATCCCAACTTCTTTAATAACCCAATAACTTACCAATATCACATGAATAATGATGAATTTAAGGTTAATAAATGATTTTATTATACTCAAGAATTGATTTTTAACCGAACACCAGAACTCGAACCTTGGTAAATATTTCGGTGGAGTTCGGTGTTGGTTCACCGAGATTCAGATTCACCAAGTAGTTACACCACTCAAATAATTTAGGTGAAACTTGAAAATAATTTCCTAAGTAGAAAGAATAAAATTTGGGATGTGTAGCTGTTTAAATATTTTAGCTAACACAATATAATTTCACCGAAAACTACTGATCTTCAATTAATTTACCAGAGAACTCGGTGAAATATTTGGTGTCAATTGTTAAATCCCAAAGAAAACCAAAGCAATTAATTAATTACCAGATCTCCACGCGCTCGTCTCAATTGCTCCTCTGACATCTTCAAAACCAACAAGTCTACAGTTAATTATAGAGATTGACCCCCTTTTTATACCAGGTCATCCCAAAATGACAGTTACAAATTGGAGATTAATAGAGATGCTGGCTCGCAAGCTCCCCCTCCCAGACAGAACCCTGCTGTGCCTTAAGAAGTTGGGAAGCAAAACAAATTTACAATCAAACATTTAACAATCATTTACATAGCAATTCACTACTGCTTGATTCATTTAATTGAATGTCGAATTAATACTTCATAAAATACTAGAGTTAATTGAATCATGAAATTATTATGATGATTATTCTAAATTTTATAACAATAGTTTTAAAGAGAAAATATTTTTAAATATCATTGCAACACCGTGTAGAATTAACCCTTTTTACAAATTTTCTTTTGAACTTTATTTTGGACATAAATAAGTTTTATCAGTTATCTTCAGTGGGATTAGTTCTGAATATTTATTTATTGTTGGACGACGAAATACCGAATTACTGATTTGCATAGAGACACTCTCTGTACATTTGTTGAAAACTACAAAGGGCATAGTGTTAACGCCATCACTTATTTCTAATACCCTTTAAAAACATTCGTATAATTATCTGATTTATCTTTCTTTCATGTCCATCTTATCAAAACTTTTCACAGACTGTAAATTACTCAACATTCCCTCTTTCCCGATCAACGACATATCTTTTTTTTTTACCCAAACTACGCTGTCATAAATTTCTTTACCGTTTTGATGCATTTATTTGATTGTTAATGTCGAAACTACGCTTAGGAAATTTGAAATGAGCAGGTTGGTTTTTTTCCATTTCTTCCATTCGTGGTATTGAAATGCAAAATATGACAATAGTTAAAACATTATTTAAGATTTCATCAAAATTATATAGTGTCATACATCATGAATATTTTTTTTCTATAATCTTTAAATGTTTCACAGCTTGTAATAATAAGCTTCAAAACATCGATCTATCAATCATTAATACTGTTCATTTTGAGAAAGAATAAAGTTAACCTGCAGTTTCTGCGAGAACAGCTTACAAATACATGCAGGTACCTTGTTAATGGTCAACAACTGCCAGGTATACAGGTATTCATTCCCTTCTTGGTGCTTGTGTAAATTGGTAAATGGGGTTTACACTACCATAGTTCGCTGCTCCTCATATTCTATACAAATATTGCTCTCACCCCTACAATTTTCGTTATTCTCATTTTTTTTCGGGGGGGGGGGAGGCAAAATTATTGAGGTATCCCCCTTCCATGTAATCCGGCGTCTTTCAATTTTTAAAGCTTAAATTATCTCGACTGTAATAAAATTTGGTTGTAAATTTGCCATTATTGTCTATGGTCAGTAAGATACCCAATATGAAACAGATGTGACAGACTCTGGTGTCTTTTATTTCAAGTTCATCAGAATATATCGAGTTGACATTTGAATGGAAGTAACTATTGTTAATTGATGAAACGTCGTCGACATATCTGAATGTTGATCTGAGGGCCACATAAAGTGATTTCTTACTCTCGTTTAGAAGTTTTTGAATAATTCTGCTTCAAAGGAATATAAAAACAGGTCGACTAATGAAGAAGCACATTAGTATCCATCGGTATTCAAACAGTTCGTTGGAAGACCTGACCCCAGGATCATGAAACAGACTTAGACTTAAGTAAACTTTTCAATAGTCTGTAAAATGTTTATTAATTAATGAATTAATCGCTAAATTTGCAGATAACAACACTTTAGTGAAGCAAAATTGAAAAATATTTTAATTTTTATCTGCTTGACTTCTACAATATTTTAGTACATTATAAAAATTTTGACTTAAGCTTAAGATGTTTCATGATCCCGGGGCCTGGTCTCCGAAGACTACAAAAATGTTGTTAATAAGGAAATACATCATCCGTTTAATATCAACTTCAGAGTACTTGTGTGAAGAATCAGAGTGACGAAAGTTGGTGTCAATCTATGCCAGGATTCCAATGCCTTTATGTCTTTTTTACCCCCCTCTGTCTTTGCAGTGGAATGAAAACGATCCAAAGACCTGTGGATTGAAGAGATTGTATATTGACAATTTTTCCATCTGTCAATTGATTTTGTGGTTTACCATCATATTTGGATACTTTAGCCCGAGGGCAGCCTTGAGGACATTCATCACGGAACCAACACATCTGATAAAGAATCCATCCTCAACTGAGGTAACAAAAACTTAAATGTTGTAGAAGAAATGAAGTGTCTCACATATTTACTTTGGCCTCCTCCTTGATCATACAAGGAAGTTTTATACTGTGATATTTTAAATCAAAATGTCTTCTTTGTCATGTTATGTTTATGATAAACTGTTCTTGTACATCACTGTGATACAGAGAGTAGAACATGTTCTAGTGTACTACGTGTATATTGTATGTAGATTGTTATGAACTATTTATTTTAAGAAGGCAGGTAGGGCTTCCTCAAGGAATTGTACGGAGTTTGGTTCGTTACACATATGATCACAAATCGGTTACACATATTTCTTATTTTACTTGTGATGTGCAATTAGGCAAAGATGGATGGAAATTTTTTTTTATCATAAACCTCATTTATTTTATATTCATATATTATTCATTAAGATATTGAAATTTCCTTGTTAACATTTCTTCACTACTCAAACAACGTTGAAATATTCCACATTTCTTGAATATATTTTTGTTTTGTTTTTAAAAAATTGATCAGTATGTTTGAAAAAAATTGTTTTGGACTAAATTTTTTTCAGTATTTCACCCTTCACAATGCTGAATGACAAATTCATAAAGATTAATATCTGCTAATTGAATTTGGTGCTGAAGTTTGTTTAAACACGTTGTACCTTCTAATTTTATTTAGATGTCCATGACATATTGTTGCAGTGTAATGGTACCGTATATGATTTACATTGCTGAAAGAAGATTTATATGCTTGAATTCTTTTTTTCTGAAAAATTATTTTTATCATATTACAGATGTGTTTTAGTTATGTAATTGATAAGAGCTTTTATAAATTCACATACGCCTAAGCCGTACAAAAAGACATATTATTAAATCTGTTACAATTCCAAAGTTCTAACTATGGCTTTATTTTAAACAGAGGTGAATAGAGCAAATGAAGCTTTGATTCTTTTTTTTCTTTATATCAAAACCATGACCAAATGATTAGTTAATATAACCAGCTTCTTGTATGGAATAACTGTGCTTTTTTATATGACAATATTGTTTATCATACATTCCTTTTAGACGGAAACTGTAGTTGAATAATGAAACAGGTTTTTCACAGAGCCAAGATAATTTTCAGAGATAGTATATTTGAAAAAAGGTGTTATATTTTACAGATAATATGATTCAGATAGACCTTTATGATATAAACAAAAGGTTTTAATGAAACTAGTTGAAAGTATGCAATTATTCTTGTTTTATTTCAAGAGATTGCACAAATCTACTCTAAGCACCTTGTAAATACCATATTAAATACTGCTTCTTGTGACATTCTAGTCAATGTGATATTAGATTCTTGTTAAAGATACATTTGATTTACAGGTATATAGGAAAAAATTAAGGAACATTTGTTTCAGATAAAGAAAATTGTTGGAGTCATGTTTTGAAGAAAAAAAAATTCCATGATAGATTTTATTTTTTTCATATACGAGGGTTTTATGTTTTCTAAAACTATTGCTGTTGTACTTCTCCTTCACAATGTCAAGATTTTGTGATTACGGAACTCCACATAAATCCTTGACATAAGTCGTTATTTAAAAGTTGGGCTAGAAACCTGCTATTTCATTTGTTCCTGGTCTAGGACTGGAACAAATCAGAAAACAGCTTTTATTGTAGGTAGGTTTTTGTAAACAAACATGACTCGTTTTTAAGATGGAAAGTGTCAATATTGTAGGATTTGTGACTAGTTACTTTAAATAAAACATCGGGGAATAATTTTTTGAGAATCGTCCTTCTTACAATCACAAAAGATATGCTCTGGAGTTGGGGCAATTTAAAAAAAAATATTCTCATTGGTTAGTTTATAGTTACCCATTACGTCATGTGTAACCACAAGCCCAACTTTTAAATAACGACTTATGTCAAAGTTTTTGTGTGGAGTTCCGAAATCACAAAACCTTGACATTGTGAGGATGATTTTAAGACTTTGCAGTGTCTTTTAAAGAAGGTTAAAGACAGAAATATTTGCTCATTTTCATATGTTTCATATGATTATTTTGATAAACGATTCATAGAAAATTCATATTACACCTGCAGCCTGTAATATTAACTTTTTCCTAAATAAATATCAACTACAAGACATTCTGAATATTGATTTAGAGTATGTTTGTTTATTTTCTTATATTTTGTATTAAAAAATATTATAAAAGCAATTAATTTTGAATTCTAACTGAAGTTTGTTTTGATTGCATATCAACCATTTTCTATTTTAAACGATCCACATTTCATGTATAAAAACCCTCAGAAAATCCAAGTTTGGGTGGAAACGTTTCATATCTTTCTTTTTTTGTTTATTTTCACTTGGCTTCCTTTTTACCACGACCTCCAAACATGACTTTTTCGAGTCCCATAAACGGCGATTCGAACGCGATCGAGAGGATGAAAGCCACTCCGTAGGATACCATGAGATTTGCAAGGAAGGTGTAGACCTAGGATAAAATTTCAGGAAAAGCAAAAAATAAAAGTGAAATAAACGACAAAAACGAAACGTTTGAATGGTTTATATTCCTCCGTAAGAAGAACGGAAACACTTACCATGTCCAGATCAGTAAGATAGAAGGGGAAATTTCTGTTGAGATAGTACACGTACATAACCAGGGGGTGGATCAAATAGGCGCAGTATGTCAGTCGAGAAAGAGGCACGAACGCTTTCCATGATAGCAATGTGTTGATGTACCCTGCAAAAGATAAAATTAAATATCGTATTCTTGATGCATAAAGGCATAGTTTCTCATTTTTCCCCATATATTTATATTAGCATTAATACGATGTAGGTCGAATGTACACTAATTTGCTTTTCTGAATTGTGGAATTGACGAAAATTACTATAGATATAAACAGGGATCGTGTGCATTTTATTCAAAAAATAAGCGGCGGTTTAGCATTAACTGTTGAAAATGTCAATGTAATAATTTAAGGCAAATAACCATTGAACTTGCAACGCTTAATGATAATTGTATACAGTTGCTACAGGGCCTATAGAACACAAACATTTTATTAGTTTACCTCCATTGCCGGTTGCGCATGCGAAGATGACCCAGCACACAGCAGCTCCCCACACAGTTCTGTTGAGGGCGTTGTACAGGGCAGCGACCTCTTTGGACAGTGCCACCGGTTGAACTGGTTTTACCGTGTCGTAAATACCATACAGAACGGCACAGGCAGAGGCTGTGGCTACGACCCATCCCAACAGATTCAGGAACTGTAAATTCAGTATAGCATTCAACGTAGGCTTACTACAGTACATGCATGTATTATGATATTTTAGTTATATTCAGAATTTGGCGGATTTTACGCTGCATTTTATGATCGACTTAAAAAATTAAACATATTAAATAAAAAAAATAATTAATAACGCTTACTGATATAACTGACTGTGACTAACCGACATTTGCGCTTACCACATCAATTATCAAACATCATTAAGTGAACTTACGATATTTATTCGGCATTTGCACTTGGTTTTATAGAGTATGTAGCCTGTTATAACACCGCAAATGTATGGTCCCATACGACAATATGGTACTATATAATAGTCCTCAAAGAAAGCGCCTCTACTACAAAGTTTTAAAAAATACATTTGTTACAATCGGTCATTTTGATTAGTATTCTTTAGTTCAAATGAAAATCAAAAATATGTTAGTTGTGTTTATCTAACTCTTCACACTTTTAGTCAACACGAAACCTGTTAAACCACGCCCGGATCGAAGGAGGGATTCGAACCACCCCACCACCTGGAATTTTCAGAGTTATTTATTACATAGTTAAGTAACTAAAAAAAACGAACCTCCCTCCCCCAGAAAGCGTGGACGACTCGTACGTTGATAAGGAGAGTCATATATACAAAAGTCGAGAGAAGAGCCCCCGCCCCATGAAATAGGTTTTTCAGGTTTGGAGAAGTTTCTTTTTTTCTTTCAATGAAAACATTTCTGGGTAGGATTTCTTTTTCTTTTCTTTCTTTCTTTTTTTGGAGTAGAATAACCCTTTCCCCCGTTGAAAGAATTCCCGGATCCGCGTATCTTATACCGAAAGCCATATTTACTATAAATATCTGAGTTTTGGTTAATTAAAAAAAAAAAAACAGTTTTAGCCCCTATGATAATCATGGCAGGTCACATGATCGATCTTGGTCCAGAATAGCCAGTAGCTGCAGATCTCTAACTTGCTCCAAAAAAAGGTTGGCGCTGTTTCTCGGTTTATTTATCCGTATATCTAAGCTGTCATCTAACTATTACTTACTCAGGTTCCTAACATAATTTTTACAACTTCCACAACAAAACTGTAGTTTAAGTCATGCCACCCAAAATGGCAGTATAAATATGCGATATTTTAGGCTTACGCCTTGCCCAATATGCATTTTTTAAGGACCCCATATATTCCAGTATTACCCCTCTACGTGTCTACATAATTATTAATGTTAGGAACACACGGTTAGTAAGAAATTCAGATGACACTTAGATAAACGGAGAAATAAACCGTAAAACATTGCACTTCTTGTGTGAAATAAATATAAACTTTTTTCAGCTGGTGACACTGTAGCTTTCTTATTGTCCATCTCAGTTTATTCAGACCAGCGAGCTATAGATCTGCAGCTAAGAATACCCAAGGCTTAAAGCTGAACACGACTCGTAAATAGACATACATCATTTTCGATATTACTATCTACGATATCAGCACCGGGCTATACTCTTCGCATTCGTTACACCTGACTGCTTTATTGTCACGGGTATCGGCGTGGAATGGCGACCCGTGTTCGTGCTGGTTATCTTGCATTACATTTCTTTAAATTTTATTGCAGTTACGTGCATTTACAAGTGTATGTTTGTATACTGCACTGACCTGTGCAACTGTTGTAAGTTTCTTTGGCATCTTTCCTGCATTAGAAGAAGTACACGGTTATATTTTACCGCTACCGAGTGCTGTATAGCATACATCCTTCTACACCGGTGACGATTGATTACACTGAACAGTGACCAAGTCAGCGGCTTTATACAGGGGCCCTCAGATATGGCGAGAAACCAGTCGAATATGGCGGACACATTCCTTTTACGAATCGTGTTCAGCTTTAACAATAAGAGGTGGTTGGTTAAATAATTTTATGCATGTCTCATGAAAATCGAGCGATTCTCTTTTTCAGGATGAATCTACATTGGTGTATTTCTCAATTCAGGCATTTAGATTGTGATGAATAGTCGTTCGTTAATGTTTTTATTTTTACTATAGGATTTTATTTCAGATACAATATCTATGTAGTTTTTGGAGATCAAGTCTTCCAACAATCTGTTGGAATTCTCATGGGTACTAATTGCGCCCTGTTAATTGCGAATCTATTTTTGTATTTATAGGAGCAGATTTTTTTTTAAAAATCTAAATGAAAGGAAGGTTTCTTCTTGAGGCCTTCAATTCAACATTTAAATGTATCGACGAGGTTTGATCAATTAACAATATTCCTTTTCATTCTTACGTTGATTCGATATACTGTATCTCTTTGAACTCGAAATAAAAGACGCCAAAGAGGCTGTTAATAACATCTTATGTTACTAGAAAAAGATATTCATGGCAATCTAACAACAAAACTTTATGATAAACGTGATGACATCAACTTTTCTATAGTGAACTTCCCTTATTTATGTAGCAATATACCAGTATCACCCACATAAGGTTCTCCCAGTTGATTCGATACACAAGAGCGTGCTCTACTACATTCGAGCAATTTCTATAACGAGGCAAGCTACTGAAAAATAATTTGATGATACAAGGATATCAACAGTTCGCAAATGCTATGGTCAATACAATGTTTATGGCACCTGATGCCATCTCTGATGTTATAGAGGTCCGTGTTTGCTCTACTCCAAATTTGTATTGTTCCAATGGACTTTTGATGTTGATTACTGTTCATTATCTGTCATATTTCACCTTGAAATTCTGTTTGGGAGTAAAAGATCAAAAGTACCTAATTTATATATGAATAGAGAGGAGGGGGGTGTCAAGTTAAGGTTAGAGGAAATTTCAAAGGCAATGAGATTAAAACAAAAATAGTATCTTGTACATTTGTTCTTTGATGATTTTTTTTTCCTCACAGAATTCTTGTAACCGTTAAAAAGCAAGATATCTCTATTCCTATACTTTGTATTACATAGCAGAAGAGTTGAGTGAAACGTACTCAGCGTCCTTGGGACCGCCACCAATAGTGTGGACTGGAAGATTTTTCACGTAGCTTAGTACACCTGGGGTGATGGTCGCAGCCAGGAGGAAAACAAAGGTTACAACAGCCCCAGCAATCTTGTTGCTGAAATTCGTAAATATCAAATTCTTTGATTATTACATGTACTAAAATACACTTTAGTAAGCATCATATTTCAAAAATATGTGTAATTTTTAACCAAATAAAAACCGTAATGCCCTATTGGTACTTACAAGAATAACGGTACGATCATAAGTGGACTTAACACGTAGAACTGCATGTCATTATTCAGATACCATGACCAACCTAAACACTGCAAATGAATGAAAGCTTCAAGAATATAATTCAATTGATGATTACTCATTTTTACATCCAGACACTTGATACACACGTCTAGCAATTTCACTCCAAATATAAAAAAGTTTCCTCAATATAAATATAATAGTATAACACGCCTAGCAATTACATATGTCTAGCAATTTTTCCTCTACTTATTACTCAGATCTAGAATTTTTCCTTCACATAATGCTAATGATTAGTCATTTTTCTCAACATATTTTTGCTACTTAAGACACATTCTTAGTAATTTACAGACCCGTGGGAAAACAATTTCAGTAGGGGAGGGAACAGGTGGGCACAAATTCACCTAACAGAAATTGTCGAGAAGCCAAATAAAATGAAAAAAAGAAAGGTCACCAGACATTTATGAGTAGGGGACACAACCGTACACTAGCTTTATTTTCTAATATATATATATATATATATATATATATATATATATATATATATATATATATATATATATATATATATATATATATATATATATATATATATATGTATGTATGTATGTATGCATGAATAATGTTATTATTATAGCATGGGAATTTTTTTAAATAATCAAATGAAAGGTTTTAAACGTCAAAAAGTATGTATGTTGAGTATATACTGGCACATAATTGAGGGCTGACAACTCCACCCTCAGCCCCCCCAACCCCATCCCGGTTCCGATGGGCCTGATTAATGCAAGATTGAGATGGTTCATGCAAAAGAAATCTGAATTTCTACAAGTTTTATTCTATATCAAGTCTTTGATCAATTTTCCTCAAAGTTTACCAAGTCTTTGGCTCCAAAAAAGTTATCAATGTAGAGAAGGTTTTTCCACCAGGCTCTTTTACATGTCTCGTCAGGTGTTGGTTTGTTAGGGCCAAATATCAAGTGAGGATAAATAGTCACATACATACCGATCACCATCATGTAAACGGGGGTCAATCTGAAAATATCCACAATGATTGCTGTATTGTTAGAACACACAGCATATGGTAGAATTTTTGTGGTGGTGCGTGTTCGTTGATTTCATTCCCAGTAATTTATAGAATTTTATTTTCCAAAATGTAATTAGACACTAATTTTAGAATGAAAATATACCGTAAGCATTTTTCAATTATCTGTGCCAAAATTAAGGAATTCTAAAGAAATCTGAATATAATTATGTTAAAAATAAGTAAAACTCTACTCAATCTCTCTGATCTACTCGAAACTTATATAAAGTTCTATAGAAACCGCCCATTTAAAGATTACGCCTAACGTCAATATGTACCATTAAATAAATGGCAACTGATATTTCTTTACTAAAATTATTACAACCCTTTTTAAAGGGATTCAAAGCTCATAAGTCATCTATCAAATTTACGATCAAGTTTCATCATTACCTCCAAAATCGATGGAAAAAGAAAAGGAACCAATTGATGCGCCCCTTAGTTTTGCTCATTTGCTTCAGCAGCAGATAAGATGTCAACAATCCACTAAAAAAAATAACAGCGACTTTACTTTCACTTTGTTAAAAATCCTGAAAACGATTCCCATTACAGCAATGATAGTGATTCAGAACTAACCTGAGAACGAAAAATGTATCTACGGACACCAAGGCATTGAAGATCACTTGGGACGACACACGACCCATGAAATCGGAATAGTATACCAGCGTGTTGGCTAAAAAGGGGTTAAAAAACAGCGAATTTAAAAGGATTAAGAAACTTCCTTTAGCATCAGGCTTGCTTGGTGAATAAATATTATAACATTAGTGTTCCCGTGGAACAAGAATTCCAGATGAAAGTTTGGAAATTAACATACTGTCAATTAAGGTCAAAGAACTCGTCAAAGAAGACGAGTGCCTTGGTTTAAAATAGGGAATGGTTTATTGTAACTTACAAGTATTTCCCAGTATGAAAACTAAGGTGTGCCCCAGAATGACCCAACTCATACTGAGGAATCGGATTCCATTGATGGCCGTCAGACTTCCTTTTGGTTGAGACGTGCCCAATATCTTCTTGCCATTGGTGTAGGCACTGAAGGACAACATCATTTTACCGAAAACACCTGAAAAGAAATAATTCAAACATGTTTTTGCATGTAGTTTGCAAATATCCTACATATTATTCGTATTTAACAATGGAAAAACATAACTATGATTATAGCTATATTAACATACTGGGTGCACATATATACCTACATAAGCTTCTGGGATCTGATGTGCTATCAAATTAATTGCAGTGAAAGTACACGGTAAATAATCACTGGAAAGGACACTGTGACTCTTGCTACAACATAGTGTTCTGCTTTAAATATAAAAGTCTTTTGCGAAATGAAGCTCTGTTCTGCTTGCACAGTTATTATAGTACCTGGTTCACTTTTTTTCTCCTCCGGTTTAGGACGTTGGATTTCTCCGAATTCAGCTCTCAGTTTGGAGCTACTGTCAGGGGAAGTAAAACCATTGCTCTCCTCGGTTTTTTTCTCATAAGCCACCTTCTTACGCCGACTCTTTATCATCATGATGACGTCATACAGAGTTCCCACCAAGATGAGGAGTAGAAAGATTACAAGAATGACACTAAAACAAAACAAAAGTAATAATATATATTTCTTTACATGGGGGTGGTGGGGTGGTACCAACACCCAACCAGAACCACTCCAAAGCACCCGACGGGAGAAAACCCAACCAACATAACTATGACAGTTAAGTAACCAATCAAATGGCTTCCTGTAATACATATTCAAATAACACTTGACTAAACTGCACCAAATCCTGCAAAATATTCATAAAAGATAAACTCTCTTACCAATCCGGTCACTTTAGACTAAGTAAGTATTACTATTTTAGTACAGGATAGATCTGTAAGACATATAAGTACAATATATCTGCCTTTTCGGTACTCACACGACTACTATAGCACTGGTCTCCAAAGTGTCATCTTCAGCTGGAGTAGGGCAAGTTATAGGATAGGCTGTGACTCGTGATTCTCCAAGAGGTATGGCGTACAGAACTGGAAGAAAATCACACAAATTTACTCTGTCATTTTACAATTTAATGCTGTCAAGCTGAGAATTTATTATAGGTTCAATATATACTTGGAAGATTTTTACTATAGCGTTAAAACAAATTAATTTGTATTCCAAATATGGAGATATTTCAACTAATAATTCAGAACTTAAAAGCTCGGACACCATTGCATAAATGATACTACAATATCTTTGCAGCCTTTCCCTATGGATGCAATGACAATGTCGATAGTATTGGAAATCTTTCCAGACCACAGTGTAACAATGTAAATGTGATGAGACTTTTTAACCATACACAGAGACGTAAGCATAGTCATGGGCATCGGTCTTACAATAAACCCTAATAAACAATGTCTCTTTTGATTCATTACTACCTTACGTAAACCTTACGTAAATCAACAGTTAATTCTACATCATATTTGCACCAAACTTTACTCTGACCCTTTGAAACCTTTAAATAGTCTTCTTGGAAAGGTCAAGGAAAGTCCATTTTTTGATTCCTCGATACCAGAATATAGGCTCGGATCTGTGATTATGGATATTGCAAATCATAGGCTTTTGAAAACCCCCACGTTTTACCGAAAAAAATACAGCTAAAACAATCCGTTTTTCCTTAAACTTCAATATGCCAACAAAGGAATTGACGCGGTTAATATAAGTAATATTCTTAATTACAAAAGGGTCCAGTCTCGTATTCCACCATATTTCAAGTTAAAGACTTCACCTTGTATTTCCTACAAATATACATCGACTATTGCTTCCAAACATTTTAATTACAAGAAAACTTTACAAGGCCTGGATATCGAATATCTGAAACATAATCCTCCATCGTGTTCATGTTCTTCATCACCCTATAACTATAGTCCGGCTGGACACGTAATTATTGGTAACGTAAATATAGTTAACAATGAGGACATTAGATCACTAATTGTAAAAGGTCCTAAATATAGGGAACCCCGATCCTTCAACTGGCGTCGAAATTTCATAAATATTATGGATTCTGTAGAGGATTACGCCAGGCGATGGGTCAGACATTAAAAAGAAGACCTTGACACTTTGTCAAAATGGATTAAATGTATCAGATGTTTGTTAAAATCGCGCATTAAAAGATTGAGGGGCAATATAAAAAACCATCTATCCTTCTGTATTCAATAATCCAGAAGTGAAAAAAGAATTAGATAGATTACATGATCAGTACTGTACTGGTCCCTGCTGACAAAGCAGGTAACAACATTGTCTTTGTTTGTAAGGCTCATTATATTAAATGTATTTTAGAGGAACTTGGATTTAATTCTACAAGTGGTCATCAAACTTATACTCATAGTTCCCTTTCTAAGGAAGAAATTCTTCAAAATCATATGTCAGTTTTAAATATTTTTGATATTCCAAAAAACCAAAATGAATTTGAATTACCATACTGTAGATTCCTTATTTTTCGCGAGAACTTATTATCGCGAAATGGCTCTTTAACGTCAACTCGCGAGAACAATAATTCGCGAGTGGACGGTTGATCAAGGGATTTTACATTGATTTCAGCACCAAAAAATAAAAGCGAGTAATTTTATTTCGCGATCGGTGCTTCTCACGTAATTACGCGATAATTAATTCCTCGCGTTTATTTAGGAATCTACAGTATCTATATTGGATTCCGAAACTTCATAAAAATCCTTACAAACAAAGATACATAGTGGGTTCCAGTAAATGTTCAACCAAGCCTCTTTCTTTACTCCTCACTAAGATATTAACAGTAGTGAAGGAGAAACTTCAAGAGTACTGTGCAACAATATATCCGAGAAGTGGTGTAAATCAGATGTGGATACTTAAAAATTCCAAGGAACTTTTGAAAAATTTGAAATCACAAGATTTTACCAAAATCAACAGCTTAAAAACTTACAACTTTTCAACGTTATACACAACCTTTCCCCACGATAAATAAAAGTCCAGGCTTTTTATATATCATTGACAGCTGCTTTTTCAATAAAAATGGAACTCGTAAATTTACTTACTTTGTCATTGGTCATTTGCAAAATTATTTTGTTAAAAAACATTCTGATTGTACACACAAGTACTCTGAAGTTGACATCGAAAAGATGCTTGAGTTTCTGATTGACAACATCTATGTGGTTTTTGGAGACCAGGTCGTCCAACAGTCTATTGGAATTCCCATGGGTACAAATTGCGCCCCGTTATTAGCAGACCTTTTTTGTATTCATATGAAGCAGAATTTATCCAAAATCTTATACGTGAAAAGAAGAAAACAACTTGCTGTGGCCTTCAGCTCGACATTTAGATATATCGACGACGTATTGTCAATTAACAATGGTTATTTCCATTCTTATGTCGATTCCGATATATCCCGGTGAGTTTGAGATAAAAGATACCACAGAGTCTGACACAACTGTTTAATATTTGGATATTTTACTTGAAAAAGACGTTAATGGTAATCTAACAACCAAGCTTTATGATAAACGTGATGACTTTAACTTTTCAATCGTTATCTTCCCTTACTTATGCAGCAATATACCTTCACCACCTGCATACGGGGTTTTTATCTCTAAGTTGATTCGATACGCAAGAGCATGCTCTACGTATGTACAATTTCTAAAACGAGGTTAATTATTGATAAACAAGTTGATGAAACAAGAATATCAGCAGTCTCTTTAAAGTCATCATTTCGTAAGTTCTATGGTCGATACAATGACCTTGTCAGCAAATACAATTTATCATTGAGTCAAATGCTGGCTGACGTTTTTCATACTAATTGTTAGGCCATTATTTACACACTGAATTGTGGACAGATTTTCCCGTTATTTCCCGATCATGACAAGGAGCACACAGCGGGTGGTACCCGTCGGCAGGGGATGCTCACTCCTCCATGGCACCTGATCCCGCCTCTGATGTTTTGGAGGTCCGTGTTTGCTCTGCTCCTATTTTGTAATGTTTTATGGACTTTTGAGCTTGAATACTGTTCGTTATCTCCATATATTTCATTGCATAAATTAAATATGGCTATAAATAACTCATGCATATTTTTCTTACAAAATACATGTAATCTGCATTGACGTCAACTTTAATTAAATCTCTGTATGCGGACTTACAGGTATTTACAGCTCGGAAGAGATCGTCAGTACTGCAGGACTTAGGGAAGCACATTCCAGCCCTGATGGCACCTGGATTTTGTAGTGCTGCCAGAAACTATATGCATATATTTAAAATGGAAAAAGAGATTAATAACGTATTTCATATTTAGCATATAGTACCACGACATCAGATTGTCTTTTGACAAAGAAAATTGGAAACAGTGTCTGTAAACATCGATTGATGAAATGAAAAGTTGTACTCACCATTTTGACATCTGGGGGCAGTGGCAGATTCAGAGACACGGTACAGTAATGTCCTTTAACAGGAGATTGCTTGCTTGGTAGGAATCCCATTGAGCCCACTACCGTACTGTCACTGTAACACTCGTCATAAGATCCGTACCAGTTCAGGTCCAGGTTCATAACACCTGTGGGAATCTTTGCTGATGCGTCCAACACTAAAGAAAGAGAACACAATCTTAAGTATCCATTCTTGGGACCCACACCCCAATTCTCACCCTACCTTACTCTCTTTTTCAATAATCCATCATCCTGTACAGTACCCACAACGTTAATTTTGACATGATACACGATAGGATAGGATACATGGAGGATTTAGGATACACGTACGATACGATAGGATTCACTCACGATAAGATAGAAGATAAACACGGTAAATTATGTTTATTAAATATTTTTACGTATTGCAAATTTATCACTTTTTACGTGTTTCATTAATACATAAGTTTGTTTTTCTTTGTTTGTCGTTTAACGTCCCTCTCTAGAATTTTTCACTCATGTGGAGACGCCACCACTTGCCGGCGAAGGGCTGCAAAGTTTAACCAATGCTCGGCACTCAGGTCCATTGAGCAGTGAGGGATCTTTTTTGTGTCAGCATCTACTGCGACAAGGGACCTCGGTTTATACAGTCTCATCCGAAGGACTGGTCTCCACGTCTCACAGTGGGATTCGAACCCACGACGTAAGGATTAACTCCTTACTCAGCGACTCTAGAGCAGACGCTCTACCACTGCGTCACGCGGGCGACTCGTTAATAAATAAGAATTAAATACATACATTTTTACAGTAATAGAATAACGATTCAAAGCATTATGTACATATACAATTCGAATATATTTCCAAACATAGCTTTATTACCAACACATAAATGTATATGTGCTGGTAATAAAGCACGAGTGTTTCTATTAGTGAAATAAAATTGCAAAGGGTAATAGAGTTTAAACGTTAAAACTTTCTCTACTTAATAATTTCATAAAACAGCCCTCCTCTTCTTTACATATTTTTTTTTTACTTTTTGTAAATTATTCATTTTTAATCATTTTTTTTTCATCATTCGAGAATTTTATTTTCGGGGAAAGGAGGAAGGGTTCTGCTTAAAAGGATACTATTAGAATATTTTAATGTAATTAAATCTGATTTCCCTTATTCATTATTATCATTATCAAAAATTAAATTAAATCCGAATGAACAAGGTAAACGGAAATCCAGATAAACGCAAAACCTAAAAAACGCAACATATGATACGATAACCGAAAACCTGATAGGATACAGAGACGATACAATAGGACACGATAGAATTGTCAAGCATAATATTGCGGGTACTGTAAACATTTTATTTTAAAAGCACCTTTTTAGACTTACTTTTCAGTGCCCATGGTTCCCGCGCCTGCAGACCAGAGATCACTTTGAGGAGGTCACTCTGACAAGTCAAAGAAGCATTTGAGGATTTCATCATGCCATTTAGGTACAGCATGAACATCTGTCCTGCACTGTTTGGGTCCACATTACCTGTCGTGAGAAGCTTTAAGATGTCTGCACCGTCTATTCCTGAGGAGACTCCAGTACCACCGCTTTCCGTCAACTGTGAAATAATTTTTCCTATCTTGTCCGGATTTTGAATAATATTCTGTATGTTTTTTCCAAGACCATCAACTAGAGAGTTGCTTGGGGAACCACTGTTTGACTGAGACGCATTTCCTAAAGAGCCACCAATACCAATGCTTTCCAGCATCTGTGTTATAAATTTTCCAATCGAGTCAGGGTTTTGAAGTATATTCTGGATTGTGTTTCCAAGACCGTTATCTGAAGAAGTACTTTGGGAACCATTGCTCGGTTGAGACGAGTTTCCATTGAGCGACAGAGATCCCAGGAGGCTGTTGATCAGTTGAGAGATGTTCTGTGTGCCATTGTTCGTCTGTATGGCGCTGTTATTGGAAAGTCCTGATAGAAGGCTCTGGATTGCACTGCTGAGGGAATTCTGAACGCCTCCCTGCTGTGTAGTGTTGGTGGTGTTAAACTGAAATTGGTTTGCTAATTTCAGGAGTGAGTGAGTATTTAAATGATCCGTCCATTCCAAAAAGTCTGTAGAAGTTAAAAATGGTGCTATAGCTTTTTTGACCTCAAAGTTTCGTTGGATAGCTCCGACAGGATTAACTGCATATTCATGGTAAAGGAGTTCATTTCCTGAGCCCAGTTCACAGATACTGATCAAACTGAAGATCAGGACACATAATCGGCCCGCTTTCATCCGATACATGACTATGAAAAAAAGGAAACAAACTTATTAATAACTGCTCAGCTAGGTAATGGGGTGTCAAGATATATGGGTTGTCAATATCTTTCTTCGTTATTCAACTGACAGGATTGTACATACAAAGTAAACATTCCTATTTTGATATATATAAATTAAACATGTTAGAGAGCTCTGAGTATTCCTAAAAAAAATCACTATTAAAATGCTTAAAATTTTGCACTATGACCAAGGTTTCTTTCTCATCAAAATATAACAGGTAATAAAATATGAAGATAATGTACAGAAAACAAGCTCAAAAGTGCATTGGAACAATGGCTTCACTATATAACCACTATAACCATGAAAGTTATTTTTAGAAAAATATTGCCAATACCTAATTGCTAGAGGATAAATATTTTTATTGTTTTTCTTGAGTTGTTGATCGAGTTTGATCATGTCACCTAACATTAGTAAATTTTGAAGGTTTTTCAGCATTTTTCTGCATGTAAAATGTATTCCAAATATACCCATGAGTACCGCTTACTTAGAGATATATTCTAGGCCTAAATAGTTTCTTTATAACATAAGTGGCAACAAGGTGTCATGTTTTGTGAAAATGGTTTGTTTGCTTTTCTTAGTTTTTATTAAAGCTCAATAAATATTCAGTGTGGCTGAAAATCTCAATTTTTCGAACTTTTCCGGCTGTTGCCATGGCGACCAAGACACATAGCAACCAAATTTTATTTGATATATGTTTCTGGTGTCAAGTTGTAATAATGGACAAAGTTTCATCAAAATCGGTGACTATGCGTGGCAAAGAAGTTTAAATGGTTACAGAGAATAGCTCTTACAACGAGGGTCACATTTAACAGGCCGATGGTCGGGTTACCAAATTTTTCTCGTACCGTCAACTGAAAAAACATGATTGGTCGACACTAGTATTGGGTGACGCGGAGCAGTCGCATTAATTCATAGGAACACCGATGACTTTATATGAGTCGGCCAATCGTCGCTCGATGATCGAGAGCTGAGCCACAATTCGATTTGCACCGTCAGCCGACATTTTGGAAAACCAAAATGTTGACCGACCGACGACCGAGTTAAAAAACTGTCTGCCGATAATCCACAATCTGCTGACAAAAGACTTACCACAAGTTCAATCATTAATTGGATTGATTGTTTTATTGAAGGCAGGGAGATGGTTAAAAATGGTGTTTGTTCTGTTGCCCAGTAAAAGCAAGCCTGTAAAAAGATGTGTCCTTTGTCTGTTAGTTGAGCAATTTGTTTTGAGAGATCACCAAGTTACAATAAGAAAAATAGTTGAATATCTGAACTATAATATAATTATTAAATCCCTAAGCTATCGTTTACTTTAGACTTTAAACATATGAGTTATGAAAAAAAAAGGCGGCGCCCATACTTCTTCCACATTGGATAAACGATGCTCCCGAGACAGAGGACTCGGGTTGTGATGGTCACCATGCTAATTCTGGGAAGGGATAGCCTTATCCACCCATCCTATTGCCGAGATTTGGCCATTTCTGACAGATGGTCTGTTCTTGTTATAAAAAATAACTTGCATGGTAAGAAATATAAGACTCGGAAAAATCTCTTAGCTTCTGTGAACAGACCGCTACGGAGCATGTCACGTGACCGCCTGGATCACGTGATTCGCGCATGGGCAGAACAATGGCAGATGTGCATTAAAATCGGAGAGGACTACTTTAAAAAACAAGTTAAATTGATGCAAAGCATCAAATCGGCCGCAAATTATATTTAGCATTTTGAAGTATTTCCACAAGAAAGAAACATTCCAAATTAGAAAAAATAAGCCTATATGATATATTTTATAATTGTTTAACTTTTAAGTGTATTTTTTTTATACATGTAATTTAATTTTCAGTGATCAATTGTTAAATATTAATCAAAATAAATAAATTCATGGATAGGAAAATCCGACTGAGATAAAGGATAGGAATGTATTATCGTCAAATTATTCGATTCAAAGACAAATGCAACAAATTTCTAAATGTTGACAAAAAAGGACGAACAAATTTCACGTGCTGATAGAGGATCGCTGTCACGTGATCAAGCTGATCAGATGTGAAGTGAAAAAAAAAGTCATTCAACGGTAGTGTATTCAAAACAAAATTCAGTTCTTCTAATTAAAGTTTTTACAACTTATTAATTACTTTAGGCTCTGTTATTCATATCCGGAAACTCAATACGTTTTTGTTTTATACCTTACGCGCGCTCATGTTGGGGAGCAGTTCATGTAAAAACTTTTTGTAAAATCATAAAATTAATAAATATCTGATAAGAAATGAAGAACAAATTGAAAAAGTATCAACAATCATTTAGACGTAGTATTAAGCAAATTTTTAAACGTTTTATTCGTAACTGTTATGTGTGTTATCAATAAAAGGAATTATTCCAACAAAGCAATGAAAAAAAGTCTCATTTCCCCATGTGCACAATCTAACACAACCACACTGCTGCTGCGGCTGATAATAATGAACACTGAAACCTCATTTTATTTCTTTTAAGGAAATAATTCAATTAGTTCGCAAATTTTTTAATTTTTTTTGTCACCCCTCGTACATTTAATATATGTTTGTATGTGGAAATGCTTTTCGCACTTCAGGTGAAAAAGGGTGAACAGTGATCGATCTCAGACAAATCTACAAACAATACAAAGCCAATTAGGAAATATTTATACAACAATTGATATAGATTTTTGTTCAAATTATAGTATGTGAAGAGTATTACTATATTGTGCATTATGTGTAAGAAACACAAACGTCTACCGTCTGGTTTCCTTGGGCTGATTATAAATTGTCATTAGGATTGCTGCAAAATACACTTTTTATGACCCTCGTTTAAAGAACTTGAGTTTTTATAACGTGTCACGGCGTCCGTCTACCTATAAGTTTTTTTTTTTTAATTTAAAAAAAGAAATCATTTCTTCAAAAAATTTATTACCTCTGATTTCTTCATTTTAATAAATTGTTTAATTTAATACATTTTTGATTTTCAAAATATGGTTTGAAAGCAAAATGTGCTTTATTTTGAGATACTGCGCGAAGTGATGTGCAACGTAAACTCAAGTGGTCCCTGATCATGAACTCGCTTGTGTTGAATAATCGTTTACAAATCCCCTGACCCACATTCGATTCAATACGGTCCGTTAAACTGATACAACGGCTGTATTAAGTCCCGTTACGACTACTGGTCACGGTCAGTTTGTTCCCTTATACAATTATACAGTACGTAACCTACATGCACAGACTTGTATTTACGATGTGTCGTTTCGTCTCAGGGGCGTCGAAATTAAGGTATTTAACAATGGGGAGTCGAAGTGATACGAAGAGGTGGGGGATGGTTCTGACCTGAATTGACGAAAAATTCGAATTTCCACCAGCACCTTCAAATTTATTTATTTATTACTTTATTTATTAATTTATTAATTTATTTATTTTATTTATTTATTTATTTATTTTTGTTATCAACCTAAACGCACTCATCTGACGATTCGAAATAAAACAAAGCTGTAGTCTATTTACTATGTATTTTTTATCCAAATTAGAAAATTTAAAAATATTTTGATGTTAAAAGTTACCAAACCCGTCGAAAGGAGGTGGGCGGGGTTGCAATCAGACCTCGCCTTAAAAAATCGAAAATATCATTTTTAAACAAAATAAATTAATTAGTCACTCATTTAATAAAAGTAATTCTTTTAGAATTTGTTTCATTAGGGTTGTAAAGGTATCTGATGTTTAATCCAATATTCTAAGTGTCCTTAATAAAATATTGGTTTGAAAAATTGACTTCGAAAAACAACTGGTCAGAACCCATCAAAATAGTACCCATTTAATAATTTTTTTTTAAATCTGGCTCACAGACGGAGTACCCTTCTTATACCTTTCCCTGCATCCCTCCCATTCAGCAACCTGGGCAGGTCCGGTATATATATATATATATATATATATATATATATATATATATATATATATATATATATATATATATATTAATACATCGTCATAATAATTTAAAGGGTTGAAATGACGCAGGTTTTGACTGTTATTGTCGAAAGTACGCTAAGGAAATTTGAAATGAATAGTTTTGTTTTTTTTTTTAATTCCGTACATCAAAACTGAAATGAAAAATATGACAATAGTAAAGAAAAAACCCATTATTTTAGACTTAAACAAATTTACATAGTATCATACATCGCAAATATTTTTCTATTTTCTATTTTTTTTTACAATTTGTAATAAGCAGAGCTTCCAAACAACTATCTACCAATCCTCAATATTTATATTGATTTAAGAAAGAAAAAAGTAAACTCCTGCAATTTCTGCAAGAACGGCTTATAAATACCTTGTTAACTGTCAACACCTGCCAGGTATAGATATCCACAACCAACTTTGTGCTTATATAATCTGGTAAACAATGGAGTATACACTGCCACAGATCGCCGTTTTATTTGTTGCTCCAATGAACACATATCGCCCCTGCAATTTTGGGATGAACACATTAATTATCGCTACATTGCAAAAAAAATTGTACCTCTTACTTCGATACGAGTATGCTTTTATCAATATTCAGTTCAATGATTTGGCATTAAAGCACATGTTATTATCATTATTATTATCAAAACTTTTAAATTACAAAATATCAAACTGTAGCAAGCTGTTTCTAACATTAAAACAGTTTCTGATACAATACAAATTATGCACCAAACTGGCAAATCTTTACAAAATGAAGTAAGGAACTAAATACAATAATTATAATTGAACACTTTAATTTAAATCAACATCAATTTATCATTTATTTTTTGCATGAAATGCATAAAAAGCATAAAATGCATAAAATAAAAGGGGCGATAACTTAAAGAGAAATATAAAAGAGAAATACAGCTTTCTGGTTCAAATGATTCTAAATTGTAAAAACGGTGTCTTAATGCAAACATAAGAATAATTTGTGGAACTGATAGCTGCTTGCTTTAATTTACCTTTT